TCCCCCCCCCCCCCCCTCTTTACCAGTTGATTCTATCAAAAGACCTACACAATATATTGATATCTAATAAATTTCTACCAATAACAAAAAGTGTGTTCAAAAGAATGTGTTACTATCATTTTTCTTCTAAAATAACTCCCTATTGTTCAAAACTCAATATCTTGAGCCCCTCAACCAATATCAAACTATGCACATATTGACTTGATAAGGTTGTTTCCAGGCTTCCAGCACATGCACATGGAGTTTTACACTACATGGCATGATCTGGTATGTGAAAGGAATCAAGTTGCTGAGTTTTTGAACCAGGGAAGTTTTCTTGTAAAGTGCACTGATCGGCTTATCATCAACCTTATTAGTAACTTTTAACATGGTAAAATGGAAACAAAAGACTAAACATTAGTTCACAGCATTAATAAGAGTATGCTAGCATTTTGGTCCCTAGAAGTATCACAATTTAGTCTTAAGTTATTCAAACTTGTTTCGTGTTAATGTTTTTACTGTCTCACATGCAAATTTTTCCCTAAAAATATCACTGCAAACAGCTTGAACAATTCAAGGATTGAATATGTTGGAAAATCAATCCAAAATTTCAAATCAATAATGCATGTAAGTGAAGACTTTGAACAAAAAATCATGAATGAAAAGTCACAAAAGGAGTCATAAATGAAAGGTCATTCCATCCCTTAATAAAAGGGGATTTAGTGGTGAGAGTAGTCACCACCCATTGAAAGAGAGGGGTTCCCCACCCATGAAAGAGAGGGGCCATCACCTAAGAGAGAGAGGGTTACCACCATGTGAGGGGATTTTTGTAATGGGAAGGATTTCTCAAGTTTGTCCAAAAAAACTTGTAATGTGATTTAGATAGTGAACATTTGTTAAGATGTTTCATGCACATAGGTAAGTGACACCAAATCACATTAAATTCATGTTTTCACTATTTGTATGTGTTGTATTTGCATGTGTCCATACCTTTAATTTTCATTGTGTGTGAAGGGAATCTTTCCCCAACAGAATAATATGCTTATTTTATAACATAGGCACAATTCAATGAGACAATACAATTTTTACTCAATGAAGGTATTGAGAAAAACCCAATTCCTACCTATCCTAAATCATTAAAAAGGGTCATACACCATTTATTCACGTACCAAACCCAATATTGTTGGATGTAAGGAAGTGTATAGGGAAAAACCCAAGTCTTCTCTCCTATATTAACTACAAATAAGGCAAACAAATAGTTTATAAGTGGGGGAGACAATCCTTATCTTACAAGTTGATTTTGTAGGGTTGAGTTAGACTCACATCTACATTTTAAGATGATATTAAAACTATCCTAGATTCGCTAAAAAAGGAACATCCACCAGTTAGACATCCATCAAGTTCAATAGTGTTGGGCGTGAGGGGGTAATTAAGAAAAACCCAGCTTTCACCTATCCTAGATCATTAAAAAGAGCGACTTACCGTTTATCCGCATACTAAATCCAATAGTGTTAGATGTGAGGGGAGTATTGGAAAAAATCAAAGTCGCACATCGACTAAAAATAAAGTCATTATAGTATATATGAGGAGTAATTCTCACTTTACAAGTTGATTTTATAAGGTTGAGTTAGACTCAATTCTACTTTCTTAAGAGAGGGTAAATAGATCACATTGTGTTGTAGATTGTAATCTAGTCAAATCCTCAAACATTATAACTAAATGGACTACCCACATATTTTGAGATTTAGGGGATATGATCCCCCTAAATACAGAATCCCTACTTTCCATCTTCCATGTCTTATTAAAGGAGCAACTTTGGGGAATTACATAGGACTCTACGTTCCTTATTTTATGAGGACTCCATCCTATATAGAGAGATGGGAATCTCCCAAGTATGATAATACCATTCTAGCCTCTAAATTATTAACATTCACAACAACTTTGTTAACTTAAGCAACAAAGTGTCTTTGTAGATACCCCTCTCCTCTAGCAACTATTGGCAAGAAGAAGTAGATCATGTAGAAGGATTATGAATTTGGCATTAGGACCTTAAGAAGGTCAATTAGAGGTTGTTAGAAAGAAGGGTAATAAGTTGAGTTAGACCCAAATTCACATTCTAGGATGATATCAAAGTTATCCTAAATCTACTAAAAAGGATCATCCACCATTTATTCATGCACTAAGCCCAAGAGTGTTGGGCATGAGAGGAGTGTATTAGGAAAAACTCAAGACCCACATCAACTACAAATAAGGCAAACAAAGAGAATATAAGTGGGGGGACAATTCTCACTTTACAAGTTGGTTTTATAAGGTTGAATTAGACTCAATTTCACTTTCTTAAGATGGTATTATAACATATCAAAGTCTATATTCCAACAGTTATTAATTGTTATTGGGCTTATCAAACCATCCGTTATCGACCCACCTACAAATATCTAGTCCTACAAATTTCATGTTCAATTGTCTAGTCCTCGACATAAAGAGGTGTGCTAGAGATCTCACATCTACTTAAGATAACAGCCAATTACCATTTATTGTATCTTAACAGCAGATTGTATCTTCTTTATTGTATCATTTGCAGAATTAAAGGTGCAAGCGTAAAAACATAATAATGAAAGCCAATTACCATTTTCATGAAAGTCTATTCGACACCGTGAACAGTGAATCATTTCAAATGACTCGCTAGGATATGGTAGTTGTTTTGTGGACAAGGCAGAGATCATTGTACCAATCCCTCGTTCTAATGCAAATTGAATCTGATTTTCATGACCATCCTTGGGGGCAAAGGACATTGTTCGTATATCCAAGGGAAGAAGATAAGCTGAAAAACTGGCCACACCACATCCAACATCAAGAACTTGAACTACCCCTGCAGAACGCAGATCACCAGCCTCATTGGTAATCATATGTCCCAACCTGGATCCATAAAAAATTAAATGGCTAAAAAACACGTCTTGTGCTATTTAATTAACACAAAATATGCCACAAGAATCAAAGCACACTCTACAGAAAAAAAAAAAATTAAGCATCATTAGAAAACTGTTGAACTCCTCATAGTACAGTATACAAACACTCATGCTCATGTTATTTTGGAGCATCAAGCAACATAATTAAACCATAGGTAGAAGTTATTACTAGAAAATGATATCAACATATTATATCATAAATATAATTTTCCAAGAACATTCATAGCCTTTTCCCAGTTGGTGGGGGTTGTCTAAATGGATCAAACAAAGGCATTGTGTTTTGTCAAAAAGCAGTTTTTCATTAAGTCCATTTTAATCTAAAACCTTGTGTGTTTTTGGTGTGTGTGCATGTGTTCAATGATTAATTAGCTGCATAAGGTTTGAGCCTGTTTCATTAACGCCAATGAACCACAAATTCCATCAAAGCAACAGCTTGGATATATGTTGCATTTTACCTATAATAGACTATTTTGTGGCATGATTTACGTTGTAAGGCCCCCAAAAGTTTTCCTTGAAACCATATGTAGTTATCTCATTGGCCCCACAATTTTTGCTCTGATTAAGTTGACTCTTATGACAGCATTCTAAAAAAGATCAATTCCTTGCCGTGACATTTAAGTCTAGGAATTTTAGTCTACTGCTTCAAAATTCTGGTCTTATTTCTTTCAAAATTCCTAGAATTTCAGTCTACAAGAATTTGTGTAACAGAATTCAGAATCATAAGGATATAAGTTTAAGGTTATTCATGATTGACCATCTTCAGGACTTCAAAGAGTTAACTCCATTTTTTTACCCTCCATTTGAATTGAGAGAATGAAGATAGGGAGGGGAAAAAATTAAAAGTTACAAATTTTTCAATTGTTTGGTTTAAAAGAAAACTGAGGGAAGAAAGAAATTTTAATAACTATAAATTTAAAATTTTCTATTCTCTTTCATTTTCTTTCCTCTCATCTAAGGGGTTGCATCTTGGTTGCAGCTGCAATGAAGCAATTGCAAGCTGATGTGGACCCAAAATGTAGAAATGAACTTAAGTCAACACATATTTGATTACATCTTTGAAAAAGACAACCATAAACCTGGAAGTCACGTCATTTTCTGTTTAGTATATCTTTTACTAATTCAATAAGATTAAGGTAAAAAAGTTACATGGTTTCCCAAAGAGATTTGAGCACATGTTTCCTGACACCTCTAGATAAGAAATTCTCTGAAAATCAAAGCATTAGGTTCATCAGTATTAAAATGAGATATGCATTGACATTGAGCATTTTTTATTATAGATCAATACATAATATTTTTACTTGTTCTCTCCCATACTAAATCTTACATGCCCAAATTCTTTATAGCAGAATCTACTTCAAAACAAGAAATTATCAGTAGATAACCAGCAGTAGAATTAACAGGATTAAAATGAGATTTGACATTTAGCAAATTACCATACATCATATCTTCACATGTTCTCTTCACATAGCCATCCTCAATCTGATTTTAGAAACAAATTCTCACACATGGATTTGTTATAATGGAAGAAAAAAAATATCATCACAATAGTTGCCAATGTAACCAGAAAAGCAAATAAAATCACTGAAAAACCATTTCTATGACCAGCAAGGTCCTCAGACAGAAAACAAGGGAACTTAAATAAGTCAATAACAGCTACCTCTCTATGTACTCAGAAGCCCCATGCTTGAAATGGGTACCACCACCAGGAAACCACCAGAGCTGATCCTTCTCATGGACCCAATTTTGGCCTCCTTTCACTTCTGCAAGATGCGTGTGATTCACATTACTTCGCCAAACATAATCCCTGCTAAGAGGCCACTTGATAGGTATTTTATAATCCTTTGGTGGGGGAACCAAGCAAAATAAGCGCTTTTCAAGAGGAGGACAGTGTCTCTCCAGTTCTTCTTTTCTAGAAAAATCGAGACTCGGGGCCAATGTTGCCACATAGGAAACATCATGGCAGGGAATATACTCATTGAACGTCAAAGGGCATACATCCACCCCAGTTTCTGGAATTACAAGAGGAGTTTTCCGGTATGTCAGAGCAACTTTGTTAGTAAATATGGCCGTACCTGTAAGAGTTAAAATCATTTAGTAAATCAATCACAAAGAAGCAATATGAGAAAGCAAGATTTAACTTCAAGAGAAATTTTCAAATAAGACACCGACACTAAATGATTTTCTTTTTCATGGAGATGGTCCACTTAGAATGTGAGTTCTGCAAAAAATCATTATTTTAATAATGATGAGAATCAAACATGAGTGCACCAGATCGATCCCGTGTCCTGTACAAGCCTTAAAATCACTGGTTTAAGAGGCTCCATTTCTGACATTTAGTGATATCTTCCACAAAATATGTAATTACTAATTACTAATTACTAATTAGCAACTGTTTGCAGCTCTACCCAGCCGAATGTACGTTCAATTCATACCTATCAAGCAGTTTCCATTACATAGAATATACACATTGATGCATACCATTTGGAGAGGACACTACTTGGATCTGACAGCACTAAAATAACATGACATCCAGATAGCCAAGTTTGGAAATTTTGCAAGAAGCCAGGAAATAAAAGCAGTGAAAAAAGGGTTGGAAGTTGAGTTAAGCTGAAGAGGTTACCATTAGAGGAAACATTGTTGGGAGAAGAAGAAGAAGAATGAGAAACAAGCTGAGAGACGTAAAGGGGAGCATTGTTTCCGAAGAGGGTGCCAGCGTAGAACGAAACAATCATCAAAAGCAAAGCGCCCATTATAATTTGCCCAGATTTGGAATCGAACGCAGAACCCATTGCAAAACCCCCCATTGATCTTGTCCCTTCTTCTTCTTCTTCTTCTTTACTCAGTTGGGTTTGCTCGTAATGCTCCGGAGAAGGGGAAACGCTGAATCAGTGCACGAGAGAGAGAAAGAGAAGCTTGGAGTTGCGCGAACGAGGCTTTGTTTCCTCTCCAAGTTTCGGATCGGCGAAAATTTTGTGTCTCATTTTGTTTTTCCCTTTTTGTCTTGCATTTTTCGGATGCGTGAGATTGCTGATCATTGTTTAAGATTAGTTATTAGTAGTGCACTTATGGCTAAGCAGCGACAGTTGACGCGAGAGAAGCACGTGGCTGCAAATTTGCAGTTTTATTACTTTTTTTTGTGTCACCTCGGCTTTTAGGTTTTTTTTTTTTTTTAAATAAAATAAAATTTATTTATAACCAGTTGATGGCCATTTTTTTTTATTATAAATTTTTTCAAAAATATTTTAAAAGAGAAAATAAATTCTGAATTAAAATTAGTTTCTTTATGAATTAATTTATTCAAAAATCATATGTCTAACTCATGTATAAACTAGTTTTAATTTTTAGAAAAAAAAATTCAGTTTTTTTATTATTTTTTCTTACCTTATTTAAAAAATCTTTAAATATATTCTTTGATTTTTATTTTATTTCCCTTATTTTGAAAGAGATATATATACTCTCATAATTTTAAATATATATAACTTTGATTCTATCAATAATTTGATATTTATTGATCGATAAATTTTAATGTTAATTTATAATTTGTTATCATCTAATTTAAATAATATGATATTTAATGATATAATATTTATAAAAGAAAAAAATTTATAAACAAAATTCATAATTATATAAATATCAATCACTATAAATAAATATTTTTATATATTTAAAAATATATATATATATATATATATATTTAAATATTATATTATTTACTTGTAATATTTAACTAAAAAATATAATAATATCCTAATTCAATACAAAGTTAAGACCATCTATTGTATGTTAAGGGAAAATTTCAAATTTCGTTTCATTTTTTTTATATATATAAAATAAAAATAAAAACGAAATGACGTTTGAATTTTTTTCGTTAACATTCAATAAATGACCTTAATTTTATATTGATTTAGATTATTATTATTATTATTATTAAATTTTTTATAAACTAGATGATATAGCTTTTTCCATTATATCAATTTATATTAAAAAAAATTAATATTATCAATTACGACTTTATATTTAAAATAGAAATTAAAATATAATTTTGTTAAAAAATACAAATGTTTACTAGTAAAAAAAAATTAAATCAAAGTTTTATGGTTGATTAAGAAGAAATTAATTTTAAAAGTAATGCGATGAAAATTTTGTAAATAATATTATTAATTTTAAGATCAATTAAATTTTAATTAACCTTAAAAATTATTTAAAAATTAATTATCATTTAACCGATTTCAAAGGACATTTTTAATACTATTTTTAAGATTGATTATTTAAAAATCAATTTTGTATGTTATATATAAAATTGGTTCTTGATTATCATGTTGCACATATATGATATTTTAAAAGAAAATAATTCCACATTGATGGTTATGTGATGCTAATTGGATCTTTGATTCAAATGAGACAAAATTCACTAGTGGCTATGTGTTTACACTTGGTGGTGGAGCGATTGTGTGGAGATCAGTCAAGCAATCTATTATTGCTAGATCAACCATGAAGTTAGAGTTTGTAGCTCTAGAAATGACTAGTATTGAGACTGAGTGGTTAAGAAACTTCTTAGTAAACATTCTTCTAGGAATGAAACCAACCCCATCAGTGTCAATACATTGTGACAACCAATCGGCAATAGTCATAGCTAAGAATAAATCGTACAATGGGAAGAATAGACATATACAATTGAGACATAATATAGTAAAGCAACTGCTAAAGGATGGGACAATTTCCATCAATTATGTGAAGTCAGAAGAAACTTGGCAAATCCTCTGACAAAACCCTTAGGAAGAAAAATGATTTATGAAACATCGAGAGGAATGAGACTAAAGCCAATTGAAAACAAACAAGTGATGGTAACCCAACCTTTGTGATTAGAGATCCCATGAATAAGGTTCATATGGGTAAGAACAAGTCACTTGTTAGTTCTGCCAGCACTAAATTTCTTAAATCTTTGTCCTTTCCTAAAATATGAGAAAGTGCTAGAGCTGCATTACTGAGAGGATAATTTTATTGTTAAGCTTTATGATGAGAAATCTTGACACATTATAAAACTTTTAATGATTTTCATATTCCTTATGGGTAGTGTATGATTTGCAGCATGCACTTGATGAAATCACCTATATGAGTGTCAAGTGGCGCCGCTTGCATGAGATCTTGGTGAGATCTCTAGAGCACTCATGAATACCCGGCACGCGCATGGTCTAGTAGCGCAAAACAGCGATAACGACAAGAATTGTGGGGGTGTAATATGATTGATAAAATCGCTAATATACATCAAGTGTTTTGGTTCATATAGTTTGCTACACCAATCTCACTGTATGTTAAGTATTAAAATCTAGGTTTGATTCATATAGCTTGCTACACCAGGTCCAATGTATTACAACCAATATGAGAACTCAATTTCTTTTCTTTATCTCTCATTTTTAATGTAATCAAAAATAAAGTATTTTCTTTTGAAATATGTGGGGGATTGTTGCACATATATGATATTTTAAAAGAAAATAGCCCTACATTGCTTGAACCACTCAAGTGTAGAGCCTTTATATATCAAAGTGCTCCATACACTCCCAAAGAGGCAAGCAATGGGTGGTGGGCTCGCGCACGTAAGAATGGGTCTTGTGAGCCCATTGTAGTTCAAATCTGTCGATTTGCCCCCCTTGCACGTGCGAAAATGAGATCTGAAAATATTTTTTATTTTGATTACATTAAATTATTTTAATTAATACCTTATCTGAATATGACCGTTTTGCACATTTCAAATTCAAATTTGATTTTATCTTTAAAATCAAATCTTACCATTACAAAATCGGATTAATTTTCTTTAATTATACAGATTTATTTTCCTTAATTATTCATATTAATTTTCCTTAATTGTCGGATGCTTCACGTGATTTTTAGGGTTTCTGAGACTGTATAAATAAAAGCCTCATTGTTTTATCATCCTAAATACATTTCTCTCTTCCTTCTCTCTGAGTTCTCAAATTTTTCAATTGTCAGTTCTGCTCCTCAAATCCTTGAGAAGACCCCGTTGTATCCTGGGGGCTTGCGCGTATCCTGCATATAACTCCTTAAGGTCAGTGCCATCACACGCCTCAGGAGAATTTTACTAACGTGTTTGTTCATTGTTTCAAGTTGCTCATAGCTACATCCGTCACTTTTAAACAACAATTGTATGTTATATATAAAATTGGTTCTTGATTATCCAATTTTAAAAGATTTGTCCTTGTATCACTTTTATGATCACTTATTTAAGAATATATTTTTATGTAGTATACAAAATCGATTATTAGATAACCCTTGTTAAATATGCTATATATAATCCATGTAAGGCCTATTTTCTCTCGCGTTCCCTTTCTGTATACTCTCGTGTGCACGCCTCTGCTTTTTATTCTCTCATGATTTTGGCCTCCACTCACTCGTGCCTCTAGGCTTTGTTGATCTTTAATTTCTATCATATGACCTAAGAACCTCTATATGCTTCATAGGCTCGTATAGTATAGCTTTACTTGTATAGATTTTTCCAACTACATGAAACAAAGAAGCAATGTTATTATCCATACTAGTGCTTCAAACATAACCAAGAGTTTATTAAAAAGAAAGTGGGTACTTTTTCTAGATCAAATTTTCAACTCCTAATACTCCACTTATAGCCATATAAATGCAAGTAAATAAAACATTGTTTATGTCAAAGTGAAAATCGTTGTGTCTCATGTGAGTGTCACTAGAAAAGGAAAAGTCAACCCAAACGTCTTCCTTAATTTTTATTTTTCGCAAAAAGAAAAATCTTTCAAGTCTTTAAGGCAAACTTAATGTCTGATTTGGCTATAATAATGGATTAAAAGAAAAGAGTGAGAGGTAGATACAAGTATTCTTTCACATGTCACTTCTTGATCAACCTAAGGGGCATTTGGTACACGACAAAACGTTCATGTTTGGGAATTATGATTTATTGGAATCATAAATCTTGGGAATTATGATTCATAAGAATCATGAAAATCCATTGTTTGATAATAAATATTTTTAGGAATGTTTATAAATATTACCTAAGAATCAATGATTTTTACTCCATTAAATAAGAAAAAAAAGGTAACATGATATTCTTTAAACACCAAGTATTCTTTAAACAACAAAACTTTCAACACTTCAAGTTAAAACACACAATTTAAACTAGGTAAAGATAATTGAAAGTTTCATCTTACTTAAAAGACTTAATATAATTTTTTAGTATAAATATTTATAGAGTTTACAAAGAATGAATAGATATCAATGTCGATTCTTTTTTATCTTTTGTTCTCTAACATTCAATATCCTTTATATAGGTAATCTTAAAAATGATCGTTACAAATACTTGAGTTGCACTTAGTGATTTGCTTCATCTTACTTCTTCTTGCTTCTTTGTAGAGCTAGGTGTTTGTTGGTGTCATAAATGAATGTATTAAATATGTTTCACCAAATGGTCACTTTTTATCTAATCAAAGAGATTATTTATCAACTTTATGGTACTAAAAAGGGAAGACATTATTGCATGTCTCAGTCAAGAATGTATTTTTTTAAAATTTTGAGATATATACTTGTCATTGTTTTGATGCAAAATAGAGTCTCATTCCTTGAAGCATTGTTAATACCAAAGAAACTTTTATTCTTTCGATCTGTTAAGGAATACCATGAAAACATATGATAGAAATATCAGACATATTAAATGTGATATTTAAAGCATTCATTTTAGACAGACAAAGTGTTCAATCTAAGAACTTATTATGCATTTCAAGGTTCATAATCATTTGTGACTAAGACTAATACTATCGTTTTATACATATGATCTTAAGATTTATTTTTTGAAAAAATCTTAGTTTATCATCTTTAAAACTTGATTTTTGAGGGTTCCTAGATCTTTGTTTAATCTAACATCCCTAATGGATTGTGTATGTGCAGTATATACTTGATGAAATCACCTATATGAGTGTCAAGTGGGGTCGTTTGCATAATGGGATCTTGGTAAGATCTCATGCAGGTGACCTAACTTGAAAAAGCTCTCA